GGAACTTATACAAACGCTGTGCGAAGGGATTAGTACATCAGACCACGTCGAGGCATACATCCAGTCGATAGTTCTCAAGAAGAGGCTCGAAAGCATCTCCTTCGACAGTCGATATGGATTCCACGAGGACGAAGCGAGAACGATGAGTACAACAAATCTGAGCGCGAGACAAGTACTGTCAGAGTGCTGGAATGCGACATAGTGCCAAAACCAATGAAGATCGAAAATTAAAACTCACCTTATATATATATATATATATAAGGGGGAGAATTCATTTGTTTATTAGTTATCTATTTACATTTGTTTATTTATCTACTTCATTAATTTACTTATGTATTTTAAAAAACTTGATATTTGATTTTGCGTAAAAATTGGCGGCAAATATGAACGTAAAAAACTTACGATCAGCCTCATGAATAATTTGAAAATTTTTCACAGATGCTTGAGTGACACGACCATGAAAATTCAAAACATATGACTGAGTATCTGAAACACTTGAACTGTAACATATTTTCATTATCAAATAATGATCATTTTGCTCATAATGAAAATAATAGTATTGTTGTAGACATTATTTTTTGAATAAAAAGGTAATTTTTGTGCGTTTCCAATGCAATCAGATTTTCACAAATTATTCATAAATGAAGTTATTAACAAAGATAATTCAAAAAACCTTCGTTCCAAACAGGGCTTTTGTTTTGCAGTGCAATCAAATCATCTGATTCTCGATTCTTCCACCTTTCCAAAATGGAATCTCGCTCCTGAAAGTTTTTAACTTATCTGAAACCACGCAATTTACCACGTTTGCCAGTATTTCTGAATGCAACTGATTTGACATTCAAAACAGTTTTCAGAAAAGTTTTATGAGGTAAAATGTCTGCACAATAGAAGTATCAAGGTAGTTAGTTGTTTTTCAAAATACTCGGGTTCTTCAAATATAATACAAATATTAATTAGAAGGTTGCGCAGTCGTTTTATCAAAGAAATTCACCAAAACAGGCCGAATTTCTTTCCTGCGGTAATTTTCAGCATCGCAAATTCCTGGAATCAATATAGTCATCTTTCTTGGACCCTTGAAACCCAGAACATTTGTATCCTAAATAATATCGTTGATATATCTATGCATTCATATAATTTTAAAAGTGTTAATATAAACTATTTGAACTCTAAGTTCCTATTCTTTCAGCTATAAATGAAAACGGAATCATAAAGTTGCAAACTAAAACTTTTTGGAAAAGGATTCAGAAAGTATCATTTGTCACTTTCGAATTTTTTTCATAAGGTTTTCATAGTAAGATTTTTGCGATTTTTTAAACTACAAATAAGAATTTCATGATTCATTCCTTTCTTAGTTAAATGCACAACTTGGAGTTTGACTACTTTTTGATTTTTAGTCTTGGTAATTTACGCACAGCCGCCACATAGCTTTTTAATGAGTTTCTAATACTTCTAAGAAGAAATCAAGAACTGTTACAAAAGAAATGTTCTTACATAAATGACAGCTGCAAGTTCTTGCCTCACCAAATCACCAATCACTGATGTCTTTTTTGGATTCTCTCCGTTATCATACAAAGTGAAGTGGGTTCCAAGTGCATTTGATCTGAATTAAATATATTTTGATATATTTTGAGATTGTTCGCTTTGATTCACAAATTAATGATTTTAATTCAGGTGAATTGCATTAAATAACTCGTCATTTGATACTCTTCTTTGGAGTAAATATAAAATAAAGTCAGATATTTAATGATGGTAACTATCATTAAGACTAACTGTACGTTGAAATATCATTTGTTTTTGTTAAAAACTAATTTTTTAATTTAGATAGAAAATTACTAACTTTATCGCTGTTATTTCAGCTAAGATGTATAAAATGCATTATTCACGAGATATGATTCAATATTTAGGGAATTTAATTAATTAGAAACAAAGACTTTCAAGGTTCATTAAATTGAATATCCATAAAAGAAATGTTAAATTCACTGCTCAGGTTATATATTATCGAAACTAATCCCGAGAATGAGCTGCTTTGAATTCATTTAGAATTGAATTTCGACTAGGATATTTTTATTCTAATTCATTCATCGAAATATTGGTTGAAAAATTTTTGAAAGCAGTTATCAACAAATTTGACATTATAGATGGAATTTCTGTCAATATATTTACAGATCACAACAAGTACTGCATGAAATTTCAGAATGAAAGGTTTTGATCACTAAAGTTAGAGTTATATTTTCTTATTTTCAAGACAATGTTGGGCATGATAATTTTAAAATGTTTGTGATATATATTTTGAAAAATATTATATGACTTTGGGAATTGAAAATTCATGTCAGTCGAGCAAGAGCTGACATTGCCAGTTTAAAAATTTGCTTAATACTCCGGCAGGCAACTACTTGATTTCAGTTTTTGAATAAAAATTCTCATCTGACTTCATTGCTACAAAGCAGTAATCACTTTTTGAAAAGCTGTTTGTAGCAATGAAGAATTTTATTTAGAATTTTATTCAGATGAGAATTTTTATTCAAAAACTAAATCAATTTCAACTAATATCGATAAGAAAGTGCTGAAAAATTGATGTAGCAATAAGTGAAATGATAAAGTATCATGTAAATTTGATGAAAAATTATGATTTTTGTTCTTGAATTACTACATTTTCAAAAAAAAATTTTGATTGAATCTGAAAATTAGCTTCACCTCACTTTTCCAATGAAAGAATTACCATCACGGCTTAAATCGGTGGGATCAACTGAAATCAAGTAGTTACCTGTCGCACTTTTCTTTCTTTTTCGAGCAGCCAGAAGAAATATCTGAAATATTACCATAAGATGTAAAGTAAAATGTCAAGTCCAAATTATTGAATGCTGTAATTGTAATGTGTTTGAGGGTATTTTGGTCAGTGTAAACATACGTCTATGTAATTTCCACACTTTTGTCACTAATCACGGATCAAACTGACAAAAAATAATAAATCTTTAAGCTAGCCTTGCTTATCAGATTAGATATAAATGAAGCAAGAACTGTAGCACATTTGAAGGAAATGGTCGAGTTTTCAATACAGCAAAGTTAATCAAAAAAACAGCTTGACAATACAAAACAATGCGTAATTTTTGAAATCTATGCACATCTGGAATTACGTATTTGAACATAAATCTTAATTACCCTCTTTTCGTCATCCTTCTCAAGATGAAGGTAATAAATTGGGTAAATCCCGCGATCAACACCTTTCTTATCTCGGGTTATGCGACATTTATATGTAATATTCCTCCGAGCCGGTGCCATCACAAATATATCCAAATTAGTGATAATCTCATTCATTTTTGGATGTTCGCCGACTAAAATTCACATAGTCATTTCATAAAATAGTACTGTTCACAAAATGGCGATTTTTCAACAAACTATTTACAATATCACAATCAATTTTACAATAGTAAAACAAAATCTATATCATTAGGAAATTACCATTTTAAACATCTTAGTTTTTAAAGCTGTTCCAAATGAAGTAGCACGAACAATACAATAGCCAAAGTGATTTAAGTACTTACGAGGTATGACACTTTCTTCAATTTCATCGTTCCATGGCTCCACCGATGGTTCATCATCAGGTTCAAAAGTCACACTTGTACTATTGGGAACAGCTGTCGTATTTATCAAATTGTCTGCTGATTCTTCAACGCCTTCCGATGAACTAAAGTCTTTAATATTTTCATATTTGGTTATGAAACATGGCTATTGTTACTAACACTTGTTTTATATAGCTATTGTACAATACGCATGCAACAATCTTCAATGAGCTATAATGAACTCTGTAATAATTATTCAAAACATAACCTATTATTTGGTACGGATGTAATTCCAGAAGTAGAGTCCGTCCCTTCCGGCACAATTGTTGGGGAAATTCGGTCCGGATCATCTGGAGACATATAGCTTAAGGGTCCATCATAACCATGTAGTCCAGGATCATTTTGTAATGTCCTTAAGTGGTCACTTTCCACCATCATCATTGACGTATTATTCTTTCGTATGCGCACCGACGCAAGCATGCGTTTTTGCCGACGCTCTTCCAAGTATTTTTTCTAATAAAAAAAAATAAGTAAATGAATAAATGAACAAATAAGCATTTTTATTGTTCTTGACATAGAATTGCGTTGGTATTATCGTCGTTTATTCCCATGGTAGCGCTATGTCGCCATGTCTTCACTACAAATAAAAGTCGAAAAAAGATAAGAATAGAAATATATATATATGGAAGTTAGCTTCAGTTTTCGCTTTATTGGTTCTGGAAATGGATCGCATTCCGGCTTTCTGGCAGTATTTGTTCCCGCGCTCTCCTAATATATA